CTTAGCTGGGGGAAATGCCATCAAATAAATCGTCTAACATGCCTCATTTATTGCACATTATAATGCCAGCGAGAGCATTGCAGCAAGCTTTATAGCAACATTTTCATCCCAAATGACAAGTGCCAGCCAGCCAGCCAGCGCTCACACACACTCACCCACTCATTCACCTACTCACTAAAGGCAATCAACTTCAGCTTCTTAGTTAGTGATGCTTCAATTATGCAAAAGAGCTGAAATGGCAAAAGCAAACAGCTGAAGCCCAACCACCCCACACCTCCACCTCCACTACCGCCGCCAACAATAGCAAAAACAAGTAGCGAGCGCTGAACTGTTGAACTGCTGCGTTGCTGTGCTGTGCTGCGGCTAACCAATCAAACAAAGCTGCTTTATCCTTTGGTAGGAGTCGCTGGCTGGCGGATTATCTCATTAAACGTAAATGAGCCACAACAACATGTACCTACTCGCGCGCATACATACAAATTTACATACTTATAGGTACAGCGCTATGTCCATCCACCCACCCAGCCAGCCGCCCCCCACACAATGCCATGCAATTTAATGCGACGCACATTGAGTGGCGGTTAAGAGCGCTACTATCCAATAAACGTGGCGGACGGACGGTAAACGAATTTAAAATTCAACTCACTTACACATAAGCACAGTCACGAACGCACATACACGCTCGTTAACTCTGTGTAAGAGGTATATGCATAGCTACTTTAGGCTGAGCGCTGGCGTGCGGAAATTCGGTGGAGCAAGGCTTACGAGTGGTGGCGCCTTAAAGTCTGCTACGCACGAAAGTGAAAGGTCTTGGCCGCGCTGTGTGTGAATGGCCTCGCGAGCTGAGTTTGAGGCATGCGACGGAGTGCGACATTATCACAATAAGCGTACGCGGATTTTACTTACTTTCTACATATATACGTAGAAGCGCATACGTAAATAGTACTTCATTCCTTTATCGTCAACTTTTCTATGCTAACTACGCTCTTAAGCCATGGCATGCGTGTTTAATGACCCAAAATGTACGTGAAAACATACGCTAGAAATATTTTGTTAACTCGAAATAAGTATGCATAGATACATTAGGGTGCATCACCAAAATTAAGTTGCAGTTTTTCCAACGGAATTATAAAATGTATTATATTTTAAGACTTGGGCCAAAATATTTCAGAAAAATATTTAGATTTACATAAGCTAGACCGATTTGAAAATACCTCCGAAAATTTTTAAACCTTTATACTCAATCGTTTTAAGCTTAAACTCTTCAATCATCTGAAGATTTTTTAGAAAAAATATTTTTAAAAACTTTATTTTATTAAAAAAAGAAATCATTTTTGGAGGTATTTTCAAAAATTCCTAGCTCACGTAAATTTTAATACTTTCCTCAAATCTTTGGCGGAAGTCTTAAAATATAATAAATTTTATATTTCCGATGGACAAACAGTACCAATTTTTTGTATTTTTTTTTATGAAGAGGGAGCTCCCCCTAATGTACAAATGTTCACAACTAGCATACATGTTTGGAAAAATATGCTCCATTTGCTCATTTATTACTACCCGAATAGCGCTTTCCACCATATTCGGTTTGCCAACACAAAGGCAATCTGTACATTCCTCTCTTCCCTCTTCATTTACATAGCTAAATAGTATGCAATGCCTTCAAATGTGCGCTTTAACGATTTGTTTTATGCGTTTGTTGACAAGTTTATTTGGTGACAGTACGTCTTTTGCATTGTCGACGGATTTTGACTTTGCATTTAAGTAGTCTAAACTCTAAATGTTTATAGCATTTTTGGTTGTTTTATGTGCAATTATGCGTCTCTTTTATGACTATTTACTAGCTAAGATTTCGTACATACATATGTATGTATGTAAGTTATTGTTCCATTTACTTGCCTTATTTTTTCACGAAAAATGTGTTTGTTTAAAAACTGGACATAGATTTACAATAATTTTTGATAAGCCGCTGAGGCCGCGCTCATAGTCTGATCAGGCTTATCGAGAGGCTTTCCGATGCAAGGACTCGTGTCTCGTGGATTTCCAAGTCTCGGAAGGAGCGTTCAATAACAGATTTCCAGAGATCAACCAAATGTCTTGTTGGAGCTTGCCAAGGGTTATTCGCTGGAGGAATTTACAGAAATATAAGGCAATAAATACTTATAGAGAGAGTGGTGACGGCGAACATAGACGAGATCCAAATTTCAAGATGCGTGACAATTTGGCGTGCTCGCCGCACCACTTCTTTGACACTTTGTATTGGTAGCTGATTTTTCCGACAATATGAGAAAACAAACCGCTTCCATTCGGTAACCTGAAATAAATATGGCAAAACTTCGAAATTGGTCTATCTCTATAGTAGAGATCTGCAATTGTTCGCTTTTTTAAGTCAATAGTTGACTATGGTTAACCCCATAAAACAATTTTTGTTGCAGGAAATAAGAAAGCGTGTTGCCCACGCCGGTAATATGGCCATTGTATCCATTTCTTATTACCAGTCGCTCTAAAACGTCCGACGAAGGTAACTCGCCTGAACGAGCGGTTTTCTTATTACCTGAATGAGTCGTTTTCTTATCGCTTTATTATTGCTACAGGCGATATTTGGAATAATTTTATATTTTTTAATACTTCATTTATTTTATCTAAACATAATTGGAACTTACAAGCGGTATTAATTCCTTCTTTTGCAATGCGGCTTCCTATTTTTTCAAACCTATCTAAATCGGTGAGTCGCCAATTTGTTGCCATTGACAATTGTTGCTTATTTCTCATGTTTTGCATGGTGGGCTAGTTTCTGTATACTTCTTCTATGTATGTATTTGGTTATGAGACAAAATAGAGATGTATGTAACGTCAGTTTCATTTCTCCAGTGTGACCCAGGCGCACTTACATTTTTTTTTGTTTTTATTCGAATCTCTAAATCCAAATACTTAATACTGCTTATCAAGTTTTTCTTCGCATGCGTAGGGCTACTCTGCTGGAAAAGTATCTGATGAGGTCTAAGCATTTTAGAAGGCCATTTTCTCTACAATCTACCAGGCATCTAGCCCGCTCATTACAGGGAAAAGTTCTGTAGACAAATCCGCTTTAAAGCAAAGTGAAGATTTTTGTGTTGAGGGACCAAAATTTTTGTCAAAATTACCGTAATTTGCGCGAAACAAGTCACGTGTTTCCAACTTCTTTGAAAATAGAGGAAAAAAAGCAAAGCGGCTAAAAATCAACCATTTGGCAAAGGACACGGTGCTGGCGCATATGTTACCTTAACAAAAGCAGAAAGAAAAACGCTCGCACCACCAAAAGCTTAACAATGTTAGCACCCCCAAAAACTTCATAATCCCATAAACAACAAAAAAAATACGGAGAGACTACGAGTAAAATGTGGCAGACGCAGCAGCAGACATTGGCACTGACACTGACACTCAAACACCCTCAAGCTTGTGCAAAGCCATAACAATACAAGCAGCAACAACGCTGAAAACTCCAACTACACAAAAGTGTGGGTGCCCAACTTTCTGTCTGTCCCTCTGTCTGTCTCTATGTAAGTTCGTTACGTATGTTTGCAATGGCCTATGCACCCGCATGCCTATGTTTGTTTGTATGTGTATGCGCACTACAGCTAACGATTTTTTAAAAAGTCCGCTCACGTATGAAAATAGTATTTTGATACCCCGTGTATAATGGGATTTGTTTATTGCTATCATTTGCGAAAACTTTCCGAGCTTTTACGATGTGTAGAGCTCGAAAAATATTTGAATTTGGATACCGTAATGGCGGCAAAGCGGGCGGTGGTGGATGGGTGGCGCACAGAACGCAGCAGACTGCAACGAGACTCTGTGCAATTCGCCGCACGGCTGACAAAGCGGAAATGTGTATGAAAGTGAGCTTAGGTGGCGAGATGAGCGAAATGCGCATTAATGCTGGAGCGGCATGGCGCGAAGTCAGGTGTTATCCAAATGAATTTTGAGCTACGGTGGAGGATTTGGTTGGTTGGTTGGTGCGTTGCGTTGAAATGCTCAAAACTTTTACAAGCTTTTTACTTTTTTTGCAAACATTACACACTCGTACATATTCGCTACATTCGCACGTTGGCCGGTGCCATCGCCCCAACTGCTCATTACCACCTGTGGTGGTGTGAATTCCAAAGTTTTTTGCAAGGAAACTGTGTAATAGAAATTTGCCAAGATGGAGAGTAGTATCAAGTGTGGGTGGCCGTAAAAATAAATGTCAAGCGTGAATATGGTGAAGTATGCAAGTATGAAGTGGATGGTTGGGGTTGTAGTGTGGTTCACATTTGGGCTTATGTCTGTTGTCTTGGCTTTGGCATGGTCCTTAACAGCTTCTTCTATTACATATTTCCTCTAGCTTTTGTCAATGTTTATTTCATTTTGTACTTACATATTTTTTCATAAGAAACTAAAAAAGCGACACCTCGTCATTGCCGTCATCATCATCCATGGCTAGGGTGACACTACTTTGTGAATGCGGGCGTGTCGAAATACAGTATATTCTATTCGCGAAAACTTGAATTAAATTCAAAATTTTTAATCCTAAAAATATTGATGAATATCGGTATCGATAAGGACTACGATGACGATAATTATAACAACAACGATAACAATAACGATTTCTGTAACGATTACGATATCGATTGCGATTACGATATCGGTAAAAATTACGATATGGACAACAAATACGATATCGATAAAGACTACGATAACGATAATTACAATAGAAATCGTAAAAATAACGTCTGCGATTACGATTATGTTATCGATAATGATTACGATATCGAAAACGATTACGATGCCGATAAAGATTACCATATCGAACACGAAATCGATAAAAATATTTATAAAGAACTACGATAACAATAACGTTTGCGATTGCAATTACGGTAAATAATTAGATATCGATGATTACTACGTTAATGATTACGATAATTTCAATAACAAGAATAGCCATAACAATTTCTACTAAAATTACTATATCGATAAAGATTACGATGTCGAATACGACAACGATAATTATAATAACAACGATAAAAATAAATTTTGCGTTTACGATTAAGATAAAGGTTAACGATAATTATAATAACAACGATAACAATAACAATTGCGATAACGGTTTGAATGTGATAACAATAGCGTTTTCTATTACGATTACGATATCAATAGAGACCACTATAACTATAATTACAATATCAACAATAACAGTAATGCTTGCCTTTACGAATACGTTTACGATAACAAATACGATATCAATAAGGACTACGATAACGATAACCACAACAGCAACGACACCAATAACTACTGCGATTACGATTGCAATGTGGGTAAGAATTACAGTTTCGATATCGATAACGAAAATTATATCAATAAGCACAACAATAATGATAACGATATCGAATTCGACATTCATTTACTCGAGCGAGAGAATATTTAGTAATACATTTACGACGCATCTCCATTTATATTCATAGCTGTAGATGAAAATAGTGCCCTCCTCGATTGTCCTGCCTTTTCTCTATTTCCTTCAAGTAGACAACTCGCCTTATAAGTATCCAATGAAATCCAATAGCTTATTTGGTGACATCAAGTACATAGGTTTTTTACTCCAGGCTTAATTACGTCCGGGTTATTTCTCCCGTTTTCTCGGAAATTCATCGCGTTGGAGAAGTTGGTGCCCAAAATTTTCAACCTCTTTGCCACAGAATCCGTATAAATCGTCAGACGAGACCCTTAGTTCCTATAGCTGACTTGGCAATCTGCAATCGCCTCTTAAGATACCTGCTAGACTTCGTAGTTTGTTCTTTGGAAGGCTAATAACTTTGCAATATCTTTCATTATTATATCCCCTCAATAGCTTCTGTACCTGGCTAGGTTATGAAGATTCGTGCCACACTTTTCTACGGGTTTATTTTCCTAACCGTATTACAAATTGTATTATCCTGTGATATGTCAGCGATAGGCTCGAGTATACTTTCCACTGTGAGACTAGATTTTCAGTAAATTTGTCGATAAGATTGATGTATTATACTTCTATTCTGGCTGTCTTATTAAATTTATAGACTTTGTAGACATTTAAGTTTCTTAGGTGAAATTCTAGAAGCATTAAAATACAAAAATTGTAATGACAAAGTTGGACATTAAAAAATATTCATGTCATTACGTTAAAAAAATAGTCATTGAATTCATTTCCACAAGGCATTTTTTAAATGCCTCTAATTTTTTGTAATTTCAATGCCTAGGGGAAATTCGGGTGATCAAAACGAAGTTCCTCAGGCAGTTAGTGCCCCCTCCGCAGAACTTTTCGGGAATGTTGATGAAATGTACATCTGTAAGAATCGAGATCTGGTGCTTGGCTAGTTGCAGAAGCTGCCTTGACCACATGTGGTCAACAACCCTCCAGAGCCTTGCAACTCCGCATGTCGTGGTTTTCACTCAGCGCTCGCTGAGCCGACTGTGACCCCATCTGTCCAGGAGCAGGACACAGGTTGCCAAACAACTCCAATGCCGTCCCTATCCGAGGTTATGGCCTCGACGGTTCCCTGACTAGCAAATTTATGTGCCTTGCAATTTCCAGGGAAGTCACACTGTGTCCTAGGACCCAAATCATCTTGATATGGAAGTTTTCCCGACTAGTTTCGATCGTCCCAATAGTGATCCCAACGCCCTGATTGTCACTTGGCTATCAGAGGAGATATTTAACCTACTAGTCGACTCTTTTATAGCGGCCACCTCCACCTGAAATACGCTGCAGAGATCCGGCTCTTAAAACATACGATTTTAGTGGTGACTTACTTCCGCTGTTGGTATGTGAGGAGTCTCTTCTTCGCGCAGAAGTTTATCAGTCGTCGGAGTAATCTTTGTGATGTCATTAGTTGCAGTTCATCTGAACTTGCCATAGGAGAGACCCGAAGTATATTAGTTTATTATTAATAACTTAAAATTATTAAATCTCTCTCTTGGCTTTTGTAAATCCAAGTGGCCTAAACTGAGCTCATACCCATATCACTTGAGGTTAACGTAATTTCTATCACTACCGTGGTGAAAGCTAATGTGGGCTAGATTTTATTAGGATGGGCCGTTTCTAATGGGTTGCTGCTGTTCAAGATTAGTCACGATTAGAAGTGATGATTCCCTCAGTTGGGATTGGCCCTGCGCTATAATTTTTCATAGACTGCTGCGAGATATCCTTGTCTATCTGCTAATCTGCGTTAATTCTGCCCACTGCCGCACCACTCAGTAAATGCCGACCATGGCAGTTTGAATTGACTGTGCTTCCCATCGGGGCTACCGATTTGCGCCCTCGTGATGAAAACCACAAGCGGCGTCTTTACGGTCACATGTGGGTTCTACTAAACTCCGACGTTGATCTGTTGGGAGTGAGCCTTGTTCAGTGATCAGTTGCGCTTAGAAGTGCTGGCTCTCTATATATCCCGCTGCTTGTAGGTGCTTTTCCCTCACTAGATTATATATTCGCTTAATTTTTGCATGAAATGGTCATTTTTTGTTTCGTCAATCCATCTATTCGCTGCACAGTACTTCGTCACGCTACGATGATGACTGTTATATAATATTGACACTTTAGCGCCGCAAAACAGCAGCCATTACGACCAAAAAAGACAAAAACAAAACCAAAAATGGAAACTCTAAAAATAGAATGAAACATAAGTAAGTAAATCCAACAACCTTCATTACGGCGACCAGAATGTGCAATATGATCTGCAAGCCATTTTCCCAACCTTGCAACAAGAGGAAAAAAAATATAAAAAAGTAAAATAAAATAAAGTAATGTAAACAGCGAAAAGTTACATTTACCTACAACAATAAATGTTAAGCATACTTTATGAGGCGGCAAAAGTAAGCAGACGAGGGTGGCTGAAATCCTAGAGGAAAGAGTAGCAAAACAGGGGAGAAAAAGTGGCGGGTAAGGCAACAGACATTGCAAGCCAACATAAATCCGTGGACTTTTCGAAGCCACTTCAACTTTTTCACACTTACCTTTGCATATGGATGGGTATGTAAGAGCGTCAACGTGCGCCAGATGGCACTTTGGCAACGCCGTCGGTAAGCTGTGACGGCTATACGGCTATGTACGACTGCGGCCACTGGCAGTGAAATGCGATACAGTGCAAGTACTTGAGCAGCAGCAGCGACGACACCCGAGCGACCGATCATCAACCCACCACCATCATGAAACTTGAAATGTTCGGGCTTCTTGCTATTGTTTCAAAGGCAGTCAAGTGGCGCCTTGAAGCTTGCTCAGCCACGCTTGTCCTCAGATGGTCGGTCACACAAAGTCAGCGCAATCATTTTCGGGGGTATAGCAGAGATTATAGTAAAAGAAATATATGTCTGCCTCAGTGTTTGTGGCGCAAGCTTTTGGGGCATGTGGCACGCTGCATGCTGACACTGGAATTACTTTCATTGCCGCATTTTTCATCATCATCGTCGTCATTGGCCTCCTTCATCTCAATTTCACCTAGCCACTGAGACTTGTAAACTTGCACTTAGCTCCCAACCATCGGCCGTTTTACTACCTTTTTCGACATGCAACACACGACGGCCAACACTTGATACAGCTACTTTGTATTATAGCATACATATTTACATCAATGTATTTACATAGGTACTTATTTGCGAAATGCCAGCAATAAGGATATCGTGTCAGCTATGAAATTACAACCGCCTGGAATCTGACGATGGATAAATGTCTGCCTGAGTGCCTGGCCCCCGTACTTCTTCTGCTGCGTGTGTGCAACGGTGAAGCATCAAATTTAAGCAACAATTTCACACATTTGCTCTTCTTTTCAACGACAGCTTCATACTTGCACTTCCCACATGTCCGCCTTTTGTTCGCTTGCCTGGCGTCCTGCCTACTTCCACTTGTCACTTTTGCCCAAATCTCATTTGAGTTATTACTGCAATTATCGTTTTGGGTTTGTTTCTTTGCCTGCTACTGCACATTTGGGGTCTCGCACGTCATTTATCTGCATGCGTTCATACCCCTAAAGTTCTCTGACAATTGCCATTGAGCGTTATTATTGTGCTTCGCATCCCAGTTGCTGCTGGTTGTGTTGATGACTTTGTTGATCCATCGATTATGATTTTATTGTTTGTATATCTTTGTTTAAACACCTTTTGAGCAGGCAAGTTTTACCTAGATTTTGTTATTGTTTCTGTTCTACCATTTATTTATTTGTCTTTTCTTTCTCTCTTTCTAGTTTTATAAATCTTCCTGTGGAGCTGAATATTCCATTACAGCTGCCGTGTATCCACATATTTCGGCTGTCCTGATATCCCGTTGAGTGAAATATTGCATAGCTCTGTGAAAGCATCACAAGATGCAGTGTGTGATTTGAGCTCGGAGAGGGCAATTTAGGTTAAGCTAGGAAAGATGCGTTATTACATACTAACCCTAAATTAGAAATGTATAGCAAACTTTTCAAGCATTTGCGTTCTATTTATATATTAGCTTTGTACATAGTCAGCGTACGCGCGGAGCTCAAGCTTTAGTTATTTTCGTGAGATATTATAAAAAATTAGTTCAAATTTTGGGCAGCATAAAATTAAAGCAGAGTTGGTCGGGGTGAGCTTCTACCTCGAGCCCGTCTGAAGCGCCGAGTAAAAGCAATAATGCATTAAGACTTAGCAATGGCGTTATTAAGATGGCTATGAAGAGAGAACCTAGAATCGAATACCACACCCAGATCTGTAACTCTAAGGATTAGATAGCCGAGAGCCGTCTAAATGATAAGAATTTGAAAAAGAGGAACGAGATTTGGAGTAAGAGAAATAAAAACATTTTTTGATATGTGGGTTTAGGTGTGTTTTTTTTAAGCAAGGACATTATCAAGATTAGATGGAAGACGTTTACGAAAAAAAAAATTAACAACTATTTCCTTTAATACCGCATAAGCCTAAACGATCAGGGAAAGATTCATCATCGGAAGAAGGGTAAACTCTGGCCTCCCTTTTTTACAAAACGTTGTCGAAGGTATGCACCAAAGTTACCTACTCGAGGCTCAGCGTACTATTTTTTGGGCATAGAAGAAGCTATGCCCTCTCGGAAAAAGCCGTTTCGAACTTGAAAGACATCTGAATATAGGAAGTTATTATCAAGAATACTTCCCATAGATTTTAATCTTCCTGCCTCTACCTCATAATCCACACACCCCACTTTTGTTGCACACTAAGACTCAGTAAAAGTCAATTCCACTTGCCAGCTGTAACATTTTAATTGAAGCACCGAAAAATACTTTTCTCTACGCTCAGCAAATTAGCAAATTCTTAGCTTTTCCTTATTTGCACTGCGCCTTTCATTTGGATTCCGAAAAGCAAATATTTACGCGCCTTAACCAAGTCAACAACAAATAGCAAGGCTACAACAACAACAACAATCACACGATCATACCAACATATTTAAAGATTTCATTGCAT